CGCAGTCATCCAACGCTCCAATACTTCAAATCCTTGACATCTTCGGTGGGAAGCAACAACTTTATCCAGGGAGGGGTCCAGGACAAGTTGAGGTTGCCGCAGACGATGTAGCGGGCAGAGTCTTCGAAGTCGAAGGGGAGGGAGTTGAAAACGTCGGCTTTTCTGGAGTCTTCACCCGTAATTGCATAGAGGACGTGAACGTAGACTTGAAAGTCGGCCAACCGACCCTTAACAACTAGATAGCGGTTTCGTATATTCGCTGGCAAGTCGACAGGAGTGATATCTTCTAGAGTTTGAATGGGGCACGACCTGGAGAAGAGCAGAGCACACCCGTCACGCTTGGAATAAAGATTGCAACTTGAATTTGACAAAAAACTAGAGCGGTTGGTATCAGTCTTGGATCAGTTGGGAGCAGTCATGAAAGTCTTCAGAGGAGATATGGGTTTCTTGGTGCGCGATAAAGTCGAAGCGTCGGAGTGGGTAAAAGTCGTGAGGGGTATATTTTCCTAGCCCGTTGGCATTAATGCATATACTATTAATGCCCCAATTATGGGCTGGCGCAAATACTTGCCTTGATCATGGCAGAAAAGTTTGCAGCAAAGGGTCCCGTAGTGGCAGACGAGATCATTGCTTGGCCAAGGTCCGAGTTTTCCCAGTCAGAGAGGGCGTCGTCAAACCAAAGCAGCAGCCTTGTACTGTCGAAAGTGACCAGTTCTTCGACGTGGAGTGGCGCGGCCAGCTTGACAGGGTCAAAATACACGGAGCAGCCACCATCGCGTATAAGCCCCATAGAGCAAGCTGGATGTGGCCTTCTGTCGAATATTGCGGAGTTTCTTGCTTGCAAAGACGCTCCAGGGAAACGGCAGGGGACAGCGTGTCGCCTGCAGCATCTTCAGACAGGAGCAGCAGTCTTCAAGGACTTGCGCAAACGGAATGGATTTTCCGGCGACTGGAAAAGCTTCAGGTCTTGCTTGACCAAGTAGGCGGCAGAGCGCATGCTGGGTCGCATGCTGCACCCAGAAGTCGGCAAGACAAGGGTTTTCATGCGCAAGACGGAAAAAGGAAGGTTGCCCTTGTACGGCTTCGAGAAATTCGTCGCCGTATTGCAAGTCTTCAAGGGTTGACTTGCAAAATTCGCTGAGAAGCGAATTTAAGCGCAAGACGGAAAAAGGAAGGTTGCCCTTCTACGGCTTCGAGAAAATCGTCTCCGTATTGCAAGTCTTC